TTCCTTCCTTCCTTCCTTCCTTCCTTCCTTCCTTCCTTCCTTCCTTCTTCCCTCCCTCCCTCCCTTCCTTCCTCCTTTCCTCCCTTCCCCTTTCCCTTCCTGCCTTCCTGCCTTCATTTCTTTTTTCCTTTCTTCCTTATTTTCCTACTCTTTTCTTCCCTTTCTTCCATCTTTCTTTTATCCTTTTTTTCTTTGTCAGTGTTGGTAATTTATCTTTTAACTCCTATCAGAACTTAATTTGCTATCATCTTTTACCTAAGTACATGAAAATTAATCTTCTCACAGAAGTGGAGACATCTGTGATTCATTTCCTGCGCTTCTCCAGCTGCTGTCAAATTGCTTTCACTTCATCTGTATCCCTACCAGCCTGAGCCTGGTCTAGGAGAAACCTTCTAAATCGCCTCCACAAACCTTTTCTCTCCTTTTTCCTAGGAACCCAAAATATCAAAGGCCTTTCTAGGGAGAATGGCCATTTTCCCCAGTGTATGCCTGTTGTCCTTCAATGATTATTTCAAACGTGCCCTCTAACTCTCAAAAGTGTCCTGATTTTCTGACAAATTATGCAGCCACTCAATTCCTAAGAGATCTTTCAACTTGGCTTTGACCCCAATTTCATGGCTTGGGGTAAGCAAGCTGAAGCCCTCCCTGGGATTTCCCAGAAATCTGTGTGTTCCTGAGGTTCACTCCCACTTGCTTCTTTGTGCTTCCCTGAATTTTCTTTTTCTCTCCTACCAACCTGGATACAAAATTCAGCTTTCATTGCGTGACTCAAAATCTCCACTAATGTAAATCTTATAAACCTTTTTGATATACTTTAAATTTTGAGAGAGTGCTGGGAATAGCCACATCGTGGTTTATAAGCCCCTCCCAATTGATCTTTCTGGTCCTCTCCCACCTCCTGGGCTTCAACCTCCCTATCTCTCCTCCTCAGCTCAGGAGCAATAAACACATTCCTGTCTGCCCCCTACAGAGCCTTGCTGTTCATATCAAGCCCCTAGAGGCCTCAGCTCATATCCCAAGTACTTGCCAAGAAAGTTTTCTAAACAACTTGTTCTTCCTGAAAGAAAGCCTGGTGAATTCATTTTTCATCATGTAATTAAATCTAACTACCTAAATACATTTGATTTCATTGTGCTTATCTTGGTTGTCACTGGCATGTGGACAAGAGTAAACTTTGGCAGAAAATATGGGAGAAAAGACGAAGTGATTAAAGCTTAAAAGAAATAAAAAGCATGGGACGGGAAAAAGAAGAGGAGAGGGAAAGAGAAAGAGGGAGGAAAGAAAGGAGAAAGGATGGAGGAAGGGAGAGAAGGAGGGAAGGAGGGAAGGAAGGAGGAAGAGACCCTTGGTTCCGCAGTTTAAGATGTTATCCCCCTGAACAGTGATTTTAAAACTTTTCTGTGAGTAGGTGTTCCTGGGAATGTTTGCTGAAAGTTTAGATTTACAGAGTCTCACACTCAAAGACCTCGACTTGGTAAGGCTGACAAAAACCATGCTTTGAAAACTCTTCTGGAACACACCTAAGCTTAAGGGAGATAGCAAGATTATATGAAACTAAACACAGCTAAATCGGAGAGGATCACAATTATGTTTTCTTTCACCAATTTATTTGAACTCTATGGAGATCATCCTGTCAGTCTTGATAGCTCCTTTTAGCCTTAGAATATGAAGTCATCTTGAGTGACAAAAGTATAGAACACAAGCATTAGAATATCAAGGTCCTTTCCAAACCTGACCTTAGTTTAAACAATATACATATTAGCCTTATCCAGTATCTTTGTAAACAGACACAAAGCCAGATCATCCAGGAGAGCATTGGCCAAATTACTGGGTTGTTTGCTGAGCTTCTTTGAAAGAGCTTGTCAGGGAAATATTAAATAGTACATGGAAAGTACCTAGTATTTTGCCTGAAATCAAGTATTATTATATTGGAAAGGACAATGATTTTTCTGATGGAGACACTGAATGACAAGCTTCTCAGCACATGATGTCCAATGTATTTAAACGATGTCCTGATTATGAAGAGTGTCCCTAGTCCAGGGGGGTGACCCTGACAAAGCTGACGTTAGCTGGTTTTGAAGGGGCCATCACAAAGGCTGTATGTGACCCTTGCTCTACTTATATTCCTTCTGCAGTTGTCATCTAAGCAATTGTCCCCTGCTCCTTCATGCCCATGCTATCCCTGGCTCCCTCCCTCCTTCATTGCAGAGCTGCAATGGGGCAGATGACACAGGTGATCAGAGCTCACCAATCAAACACTAGGAACAGAAGACCATACCCATAAAACTCAAAGAGCTAACAACACATGGGCATCAGAATAGGACTGAGAAAAAAAACCCCACAGTAAAGAGGCTGTTTTAAATTAGTCCAGTGCACATTGTGCAAGTCTTGGAAAACCTTCTTGAAATGGACACTTCCTGGTCTGCCATTTTGCTGTCTGATTCTCGCCATACCCCCAATTCCATGTATAGCTCATAAACTCTTTCTTGATTTTCCCATCTTGGCTTTCTACTTGGAGGTGGCTTCTGTGCTACATTCTTCTGTATATCTGACCATAAAGGGGGAAAATCTGTACCCCTCAGCCAGAGAACTAAATTCTCTTTTCAGGAAAATCCAAAGACCCCCAATAGCAATGTGGTAAGTCTTCTGTTGATGCACTTTTGTCTCCACACCTCTCTGAAGGCTCCTACAGGTTGGTTAGCTTCATTCTCCAGGAAGTAGAGAGCCTTCTAAGACCTCCCCGGGGTCCTTCAGTAGATCCCCTCTCTCAGTTCTCACAAGTACGAGAGATCACTAACTCTCATCATTTTAAGATAATAAAGTCAGGTGTTGTTCTTCATGCAAAACAGAAGTTGAATGTCTTATCTGGGGCCAACCAGTGACTTTGTGCGACATCAGATCTGGACAACAGTTCTATACAGGACCCGTACAAAGGTCAGCTCTCCATCTATTCACTCCTGGTCTCCTGGTACTAAAAACAAGTTTGAGCAGGATCTATTTCACAGAACCTTGCTCACTCAGAGGCCACTGGGCAGATGACTTCATCATCTTCCATGTAGATATTAAATTTCAAAATCCCTAAGCAATCATATGGGAATACTTATTTTGAGTCTCATAATTCATTGCACATACATTCATAATCAAAGAGAAATTAAAAAAAAAAACTTTTTGGTGTGAACTGAGCTTGGTATGTTTTGAGCACTATCTAATTCACAAGAGTTGCTTAAAATAGATGAATGCAAAATGATGTACCCTCCAGAGGGATTTTCATACTGGCTGGCTGTATAGCTGTTTGATAAATGTGATTTGCTTTAGCATTTTTGGGGTCAGATTGAGAGGGCTCAAAATATACCTGTCCTCATGACATGGGCCCTCCCCTTGACCAGGAATGTGAAAAAATGTGCCCGCAGCCTCCGTCTTAATGTTTAACTTGCCTTGGGATCCTTCTCTCAATACTGGGGATAGTCTAACGTGACATATCTGCAATTAAAGGGTGATGTCAGTTGACACCATGCCACAGAGACCAGTTAAACATTGTTCCTTAGAAAATAAGAGCAGGATTCAATCCTAAAAAACTTTGGTAGTAGTCCAGAGACTGAGTCATTTGGCGCACTCGGAGCGTCTCAGCTAGCTGGAACATGTCAAGAAGCACAAGCTCCCTTTACACCATGGAAGCAGGAAAGCAAGAAGTAGGAAAATGTAATTTCAAAATAACATACTGTTCTAGGTATCTACTATTTCCCTCACAATTCAGGTCTAATCTTATTCATGGCTATCAACCCCTGGTACTGCAATTCACCACCTCTGCTGGGTGGAAAAAGTGAAGAACTGCACGTCTATATTCTTTCCATGTTCAACACAATGTTAGGTGCTTGCATTTTTTTTCCTTGTCTTTGCTTCTTGCAAAAGAGCTGGGAATTGAAAGATTAAATCGACTTTAATTTATGGGCACCTCCCATTTTGATGGGAATACTTGGAATGTACTATATACTTGTAAAATAAATGACTTAATGGAAACTTAAAAGTGTACCCAAGTGACTCTGTGCTCATGTTTGCTGGATTGAAATTTCATGCAAAAATAAAGATATCTAGTGTGGAAGAGAGATACTATGGCTACCCCTCTAGGGGGAGAATGCAGTTAACTTTCAACAGGAGTTTTTTTATGGCTGATGTAGCAAATTACCAAAAACTTAGTGTCTTCAAACAACAGATTTATCATCTTACAGTTCTGGAGGTCAGAAGTTTGACGTGGGTCTCACTAAAATCAAAGTGTCAGCAGGAGTGTTTTCCTTTGAAGGCTCTCGGGAGAACCCATTTCTTGCCTTTTTCAACTTCTAGAGGCTACCTGGATTCCTGGGCTCATGGCCCCTTCCTCC